TCAATGAGAGAGATTATTGATTGGCCACCTCCTGCATACCTCTCACTAGGGATTTGGCCCATAACCTGGGCATATGCCCTGACTGGGAATTGAACCAGCGACCTCTTGGTGCATGGGTTGATGCTCAACCACTGAGCCACACTAGCCAAGTGACTTCCTTCTACTTTGAAAGACAACATTGTGTAGTGTTAAAAGCAAAGAGTCTGGACCTTGGCTGCGTAGGTTTAGATCTTCCAGCTCTGAGACTTACTAGCTATGTCAACTTGGGAAAGTTACTTAAACTTTGTACCTCGGTAAAATTGGATGAATGAGAGTACCTACTTCAAAGGATGTTATAATCGTTATTTGTAAAGTACTTAGAATAGTGCCTGGCATATTATATTAATAGCAAATACTTGCAGCAATTCTCCAGTTCCAGACACCGTTCTAAGCTCTTTAATGTGTTCATTTATTTAATACTTACAACAACCCTGTGAGGTAGCTGCTGTCATTATCCTCATTTACAGTTGAGGGAGGAGGGAGAGAGAGAAACTTCGATGTGACAGAGGTACATCAACTGGTTGCCTCCTGCACAACTCCGACCAAGGCCGGGGACCGAACTGCAACCGAGGTACATGCCCTTGACCGGAATCGAACCTGCAACTCTTTGGTCCATGGGCCCACACTCTAACCACTGAGCAAAACTGGCCAGGGCACAAATCTATTTTTATGTATAGAATATATTAACATGGTTTCATTTGTTAAAAGGTATATTTTTTTCTCCCACTCTTGTTCTCCTGTCACTCAATGTCTAACCCCAGTGATATTATGTCTTCAAATATGTCCCTTTCTTGCCCTGGCCAGTTTGGCTCAGCAGTTAGAGCATCTGCTCGAGGACCGAAGAGACGCGGGTTCGATCCCAGGCTGTGTGGGAGGCAACCAGTCAGTGTGTCTCTCACATTGATATTTTTCTCTCTCTCCCTCCCACTCAATCTGAAAAATCAATAGATAAATGTCCTTGGCTGAGGATTAAAAAAATGTCCCTTTCCTTCATCTTTACATTCTGAGACTCCAATTTTATATATACTAGTCTATTTCTTCATCTACTTCATATCTCTTGGCCTCTTCTTCACATTTTCTATCTCCTTATCTCTCTCTGCTGCATTCTGTATAACTTCTGATCCATCTCTACACCTGTCTCTAATTTCCTGTTTTAAGCTATCCATTGAATTATTTTTAATTAATGAAGGTTCTTTTTTGTTTTGTTTTGTTTTTAGCAGTTTAATGTCTATAGAAAAATTGAGCAGAAAATATAGAGTTCCTATGTAAGCCCTCACTCCTCTATCTCCCCCCACCTCCAGTTTCCTCTATTATTAATATCTTACATTTAGTGCAGTACTTTTGTTACAATTGATGAGCAAGTGTTGAAACATTATTATTAACTAAAGTCCATGGTTGACATTAGCATTCACTCTTTGTGCTGCACATCCAGTGCTTTTTAATAAACATATAATGACATATGTATTAGTTTGCTACAACTGCCGTAACAAATACTACAGACTCAGTTAAACAACAGAAATTTATTTTCTCACAATTCTGGAAGCTAGAAATTCAAACAAAATCAAGTGGTTGGCAGGGTTGATTTCTTCTTGTAGATGGGCACCTTCTTTCTGTGTCTTCACATGATTTTCTCTGTGTCCTAATCTGTTTTTGTAAGGACATATTGGATTAAGGTCAACTGAAATGACTTCACTTGAACTCAGTTACCCCTTTAAAGACCTTATCTCCAAATATAGTCACATTCTGAGGTGCTGGAGGTTGGCACTTCAACATATTGAATTTGGTAGGAGAGACAAAATTAGCCCATAACAGTATATATCTGCCATTACAGAATCATATAAATTAGTTTCTCTACTATAAAAATTCCCTGTCCCACTTATTCATCCTTCCCTCCTCCATGGACCTCTGGCAACCATTGATCCTTTCACTGTCTCTATATAGTTTTGCCTTTTACAGAATGTTACTGTTGGAATCATACAATATGCACTCTTTTCACATTGGCATCTTTTACTTAGCAATATGCATTTAAGGTTCCTCCTTGTCTTCTGTGGCTTAATAACTCATTTATTTTTATCCGTACATATCCATTGATACACACACACACACACACACACACACACACACACACACACATAGTATGTGTTAATCTTCACCCAAGGATTTTTTTTCCCATTGATTTTTAGATAGAATGAAGGCGGGGGGGGGGGGGGCGGAAAAACAAATAAATATTGACAGGAGAGATACATGGATTGTGCCTCCTGTACAACCACAACCATGGCAGGGATTGAACCTGCAACCCAGGTATGTGCCCTTCACTGAATCAAACCCATGACCCTTCAGTTAATGGGCCGACACTCTAACTGCTGAGCCAAACTGGGCAGGGCTATATGTTTAATTTCTAAAAGTTCTATTTTGTGGTGCCTTTACAGATTACCCTGTTTTGTGTGTTGCATACTCATTTTTGTGATCCTGTGTGTTATTTCTTTAACCATTCATACGTAGTTATTTTTGTATCCTGTGGCTGATAATTCTAATATCTGAAGTTCTCAGGAGTCTAAATCTATCTGTTGTTTCTGCAGACTCTTACTTGTTGTGACTCGTTTTTGTTTTTTAATTTGGGGATCTATGATTGTAAGCTCAAAATAGTTGTTCACCATTCTATCCTGAAGGCTTCAAATGGGGAATCTTTTCTCTAGAAAGGTTTGGCATTTGATTAATCTGGAGACCAGGAGTATTATTGATGTGGAATCACTATAGTCTCTTTGACACATCATAATGTACATTTGCTTTCAGGTCAGCCTTACCTTTTAGTTCTTCATCTGGTTTTAGCTTACTTTGTGTTTGTGTTTATTACTGTGGGTACATTTTGAAAGTCCATTTTATCTAGGATTTCATTGTTTCTTAGGTGGATATGCCTCTAAGACTGCCAAAGCAGGATTAAGTTGCCTAAATTTAAGTATTAACTGATAGAAAGATGGGGATCACCTTAGGTACCTTCCAGTTCTTCTAAGCATCCTCCCAATTTCACTCTTACTTAATCATTCACTCTTCAGGATTAGACTTTGGGCCCTAGGAAAGTGACACATTTCCTCTTGGCCATCAGCCCATGCTGTTGGGACTGAAAAGGAATGGTGGTTTGTTTGAATTCTGCCCCATGTGCTAATCTGAATAAGCTATTTATTTCTCTGTGTTAACACTGATGGAAATGTGAATTTATTTCTAGGAAAGAAAGCCCTGGGAGATAGTATATTAATTAAAAAGTCATAAAATTGAAGTTTAAATCCCAGGTTGGCCATTTACCAGGTATGTGACCTGGTATAGGTTATGTAACTTCTCTGAGCCTCAGAAGTCTCAACTGTAAAGAATAACAAAAGCTGCCATTTATTGATCATTTATACCTATTTTAATGATGAGAAAACAAGTATAGAGAGGTTAAGTAAAAGAGGATTATTATTGTAAATTATTGCCAAATTTAAATGAGATAACATGTGTGATGTGCCAGGCATATATAAGGTGATCAATAAATAACAGCTAGCATTGTTATGATTACATTTTCCAGATATAAAATTAAGTCATTTATGTTTTAGCCAAAATAAGATTCATTTACTCAGTACTTTATGGAACACTTACCTTGGCCATGTGTAGGAAACAGGAGGGAACAGGACAGATATGGTCCTCGCCCTTTAGGGAATTCCCTTTGGGTGAGGGACACCACATCCAACATTTACAATTCAGCTTGGGATGTGCTGTTGTGGGGCTTTGGGAATCAGGGAAGATTTACCAGAAGAAATGCCCTCTAGGTTTATACTTGAAGAATGAATTGGAAGTGTGGGTGGAAGGAAAGGCAGAAGGAGCAGTGATTATGAAAGCTGGAGGGGAGAAAGTGCATGCTACATTTAAGGAAACAAAATAAGTTTTGTGTGTAGGATTTTAGAAAAATTGTGGAAAGTGAGCCTGGAGAGGTGGGCAAGTGCCATATTCTGAAAGCTTTGTAAGTCTGCTGAAAGGGTTTGGTTTTAACCTTTCTTTTTTGGGCATTGGAAAGCCTCTGACAAGTTTTTACCCACCAGAGATGTGATTTTAAAATACCACTCTGGCTGAAGTGTGGGGAATAAAAAACAAGAAAAGCTTAAACAATATTATCTCATTTAATTCTTATGTCATCACTTGGAGGTAGGTATTATTATCTTGATTTTACGGATGAAGAAATTGGGACTTGGAGAGCTTACTTTATTCACAACATTGGTACATTTAATAGTCCATATCCATGTCTTTCAACTCTAAAGCTATATTGTTGTATTGTCTTCAAATAGTAATGATTTGTTGTGACCTGCTTTATGTTTACTCTGAAAAATTCTCATTCCTACAGTATTATTTGCACACTCTATGTTAGGTTGCACAGCATTTTACAAACATTATTTATTCTCCTTAAAAACTATGAGTAGGCAATGTTATCTCCATTTTACAGGTCTGAAAAGTGAAGCTTGAGGTATGGGACCATCCATGGTCCCATACACCCAGAAAGTGGTGGAGCTGGGACTTGAACACCATGCTTTTGACAGAGGAAAGCCTTCTTTTTTTTAAAAAAATTTTTATTTTATTATTTTTTTAATTTTTATTTTTTTTTATCCTCACCCGAGGACATTTTTCTATTTTTTGTTCAGATAGAGTGGGAGGGAGAGAGAGGAAGAGAGGGAGAGAGAGAAACATCGACGTGAAAGGGACACATCGAGTGGCTGCCACCCACACGACCAACCAGGGCCGGGGACAAACTGCAACCGAGGTATGTGCCCTTAGCGGGAACCGAACCCGGGTCTCTCTGGACCGCAGACCGATGCTCCAACCGCTGAGTCAAACTGGCCAGGGCGGGAAAGCCTTCTTTATGGGTGAACATACCACACTTCTTTCTTGGGTCTTTGCTCTTTGTTCACATGTGAATGTTTTTGACTCTTTTCTTCTAGGTTTTGGTGATCACATTCATTGGAGGACACTAGAAGATGGGAAGAGAGAAGCAGCTGCCAGGTATAAGATATGGTTTTAGATTATTTAGGGTGGTTAAATACTTTTCAGACATCAATTTAGCATTAATTTCAGGTGAAGGTCATGCCAAAGCAGAGCAAGAACTGAGTAGTTGCCTGATAACAACAACAATAATTCTATCTAACATCTATTAAGTGTGTACTATGCACCAGGCATTGAATTATGTGAATTAGCTTATTTCATTCTCATAATAACTCTTTTGAGGTGGGTACTGTTGTTACCTTCATTTTGGAGTTAAGAAAACTAAGGCACAGAACAGTTAAATAACTTGCCCAGGATCACAGAGCTAGTAAGTGGTGAAGCCAAGATTTAGATGCAGACATTCTGGCTTGTCAGAGCCTACCTTCAACTAGCAAACCATATAGTCTCAAGCTGAGTAGTCTCAAGTTCCAAGTCTATGCTCAGACAACTGATACAAAGGGGGTGAAAAAGGCAGAGCAAGGGAGGGATGTGCTTTACATGCATTAATTTGTTTAATCTTCACAACCTTTGAGGTTGGTTCAGCCTGTGAAATAAGAACTGTTATATAGGAGAGGAAATTGAGATACAGAATGGTTAAATAACATGATAATAGTTCATACAGCTAGTAAGTGGCAGAGCCAAGACTTGAATGTTCTCTACTATACCATTGTGGAGAAATATAAAGACCCAATATACCTATGTGCACCTACCTTATACTTGCACAGAAACCCTCACACTTCTGTAAACTAGAGTGCTTGCTTTTGCTAGAACAGATCCTATGGCTTCATGATTCTGAGTCTCATACCTTCTGAAACTGGAGTAGGGTTGCCAGATTTAGCAAATAAAAATAAACATGCCCACCCTGGCCTGTGTGGCTCAGTGGTTGAGCATTGGCCTGTGGACCAGAGGACCAGAGAGTCCGGGTTCAGTTCCCACTAGGGGCACGTACCACAAAAACAAACAAAAAAACCCAAAAACAAACAAACAAACAAACTATATATATATATGTGTGTGTATATATATATATATATATATATATATATATATGCCCATTTAATATTTGAGACATACTTACATTAAAAACATTTTTATATTGCTTATCTGGAATTCAAATTTAATTAGGCATCCTGTATTTTATTTGACAACCATACCCAGGAGAAAAATTCCTATTAGTTTTTCAATTTCTAAGTCAAATAAATGACTATTTATAGATAAAGTCTTCAGAGATTTTTCTGGACAGTTTGTTTTCCTTTTCTGTACTGTTACAACTCAACCTACATTCTTTTATCATTCATTATAGTATATATTTTTCTGCTGTAGGTGCCTAACTTTTCCCATTCAGATCCTTGATCTCCTATGGGGGAACCGTTCTATGTTCATTTCCAAATCCCCAAACATAGAGATGTTGAGTGATTAAAATGACTATTGAATAAACAGTTATTGGGAGTCACAGGGTGTAAGGAATGAAGGGAACTAGCATTTGTGAATTGTCTTGTATATGCTGAATATATTTCTGATTGTTTTTGCAATATTTAATGTTCATTAATGCCACATTAGAAACGAATGGGCAGTCTTTGGTCGAAAAGAGATAACATTCCCTTGAGGCCTGTAGCATTTGACGTAAATAAATGATGCCATTCTAGTCTCCATCTCCTTTCGGAGAGAAGAGGACCTGGGTCTAATTGGCTGGAACTCCTGTTTTCGTAGCAACAAAAGGTCCTTTAAGAGTCAAGGGATACCGGAAGTTGTTTGTATTTCCGGTTTGTGTCCGGAAAAGCCGGACACCCGGAAGTTGACCCCCGAGGTTGCACATGGCCGCGCCCTTGGAGGATGCCGCTCGTAGTGTTTTGCGGGCTGCCGTACTGCGGGAAGAGCCGACGCGCAGAGGAGCTCCGCCGGGCGCTGGCAGCTGAGGGCCGCGCGGTGTACGTGGTGGACGACGCGGCGGTTCTGGGCGCGGAGGATGCGACAGTGTATGGCGATTCGACCCGTGAGAAGGCGTTGCGTGGGGCCCTCCGCGCCTCAGTGGAGCGGCGCCTGAGTCGTCACGATGTGGTCATCCTTGACTCGCTTAATTACATCAAGGGCTTCCGCTACGAGTTGTACTGCCTGGCGCGGGCGGCACGCACCCCGCTCTGCCTGATCTACTGCGTACGGCCAGGCAGTCTGAGCGGGGGACCTCGGGTGGCGGATGCGGAGGAGAACCGGAGCCAGAATGTCAGTGTGACTTGGCGGCCGCGTACTTTAGAGGGAGGGAGACCTCTGGTAGCGGGCACCTGTGTCCTTAGGGAACCGCAAGCATTGGACTCTGTAGTAAATGGGAGAACCCAGGCACACGTACCGGAGGAACTGAAGCCGGAGGAAGCCAGGGCGCCAGATCTTTCACCTCTCGTGATTCCGGAACTCGAGAAACCTGCAAAGCATGTGTCCGGTGTCTTTTACCCTCCCGAACTTCTGGAGTCCCTAATACAGCGCTTCGAGGCTCCCGACTCTCGGAACCGCTGGGACAGACCCCTCTTCACCTTAGTGAGCTTAGAGGAGCCGTTGCCCCTGACAGAGATCCGGGCTGCCCTTTTTGAGAACCGGGCTCCTCCACCCCATCAGTCTACCCAGTCCCAGCCCCTTGCCTCCGGCAGCTTTCTGCACCAGTTGGATCAGATCACCAGCCAGGTATTGGCAGGACTGATGGAAGCGCAGAAGAGCGCGGTCCCCGGAGACTTGCTTAAGCTTCCTGGGACCACGGAACGCCTTCAGTTTACCCGGCCTTTGTCCATGGCAGAACTGAGTCGCCTCCGACGCCAGTTTATTTCCTACACCAAAGTGCGTCCCAACAATGAGAACCTGTCTCAACTAGCCAACATGTTTCTGCAGTATCTGAACCAGAGCCTGCTCTAACCACAGGGGGTTGGGGAAAAGCCATAGCTTCGTGTTTAACCTGTACTGCACAGTATTTTTCTGGGAAGATTAATTTGAAGGTCTGCATAGCATATTGATGTGTGATTCTGTGACTGATTCATATTTTGCATAATGCCTCGGTGCCAGGCCTTGAGTTTGGAGCATATGGAGACTAGAAAGAATGTGGAACTAACTTGAAGGATCTTGGCAAATTCCTCCAGAGGACAGAGATCAGGTAGACAGGGCTTGCTTAGATTGGGTTCTACTTGGGATATATAGTACACTGCATTGATTTCCCCCATCTGAATTGTGGGAGATTAGACGGGATGGATGAGTTATTTTAAAACAATTGTGAACAGAAACTGAAGATGGCACAGTTCTGCATCTGCACTGGTCCTCCTTTCATACCACAAATAGGTTTTTTAGTGCTGTACCTAAACCTTCTGCTAGTCTCTATCCTGGGGTCTCTGGGGTCACAGATAAATCTACTGGTTTCTGTACCTGGGAAGCTTTGGTTCTAGTGGAAGTGAAAGACATAACCACTAGATTATTTCATCTAATAAATTTTTTTAGAAGAAGAGGGTTGGCTGGAATCTCTTTCATTAATGTAACAATGTCATTCATTTAATTTATTTAATATAACGTTTTAGATATACATACACGGGTGGGCAAAAGTAGTTTTACAGTTGTGAGTACATGAAAGTTTATTATATTTATTATTGTATTATTTTCCATATGAACAAAAGTAAACTACTTTGCCAACCACTATTATTACTATTGTGCCTTTGACTGAAATAGTACTTCAGTAGTGCTTAGAAAGAGATGGGATATTTTGTTCTAATCTAAAGTGATTATAACTTATGTAAATTGTGCTTCATTCTATATTTTAAAGCAAATGTCACTTTAAGCTTATCTTTCATTCTTCCATTGATTTGATTTAAAAAATGGTAGGGGCTTGTGATTTTCAAAGATGAATTAGGTAATCTTTGCCCTTGAGAAGTTAATAGTTTGGTGAGAAATATAGACAAGTAAACAGAATATTACAGGAATTAAGGGGTTGGTGATTAGAGGTTGATCACAGAATGCTTTGGGAGTCCAGAGAAGGAAAGGACTAACTAGCTGTTGAGAGAAGGTGATTTTACAGAGGGGATTAATATGTGAACTGTCGCTCTAGAACAAGGGATAGCAAAGGGCCAAATATAAATATTTTAGGCTTTGTGGACCATAGCATCTCTGTTCCAGCTTATCAGCTTTGCCATTGTAACACAAAAAGAGTGATAGTAGGTATAAAAGTGTGGCTCAATTGGTTGGAGCATTGTCCCATACACTGAAAGGTCATGGGCTTGAATGTTTCTCTCACATCAATGTTTCTCTCTCTCTTAAAAAAAAAAAAAAAGGAAAATCAATAAACATGTCCTCAGGTGAGGATTAAAAGAAAAAAAAAGTGTCATTGTGTTTTAATAAAACGATGTACACTGAAATGTGAATTATATTTCTACCATATCACAAGAAACTATTCTTAGATTCATTTCAACCATTTATAGATGTAAAAAACATGTATCTCACAGCTCTATAGAAGTAGGCAGTGGGCTTGATTAGGTCTGTTGATTGTAATTTGCTGACTTCTGCTCTAGAAGGCTGAATGTCTGGGAGAAAAGAGAGAGCAAAACAAATTTCTCTAAGTGCATGGAGCTGTTAAAAGGATGGGCTGCCATGGTTGGTGATGCATTCCTGCTCATCAGGCAATCTGGGGACCTCCTTTTGTTTCTGATATATGAAAGGATTCCTGTGTGAAATGGAGGTTTGGACTAAAATCTAAGTCCTTTTCTAACTTTCATTCTCTGATTCTAAGTTAATTGATTGTTGGTTGAGTTGGGTATAAACCCATGAATTCTGGATTGCCATTCTAAATTGAAGTACACTATATTGGTCAAAAAGAACACTGGTTTTGGAGTCAGACTTAAGAATTAGTAAATTGCAGAACCTAGATTTTATGTGGCCAAATATTTAATTTCTTTGGAGTCTCAGTTTTCTCATTCCTATTATGAAACCATTAATAATCTCTTAGGATTATTGTAAGGATTTAAGTGAGACAATGCATATAAAGCACACAGTACCATGTTTTATAATAAAAGTTTAGCACCTTTGGCTATTATTATAGTTACCTGGATCCCACTTGTCACCTAAGCTTGCCCTGCTCATTTGGTTTATAAGCTTGTATAAGTATTAGAGGCAGAAATCTATCCCAGATTTGTAGTAGGCCTCTGATGAGCTGAATAATTCATTTGACACTTATTAAATTAATTTATGTATATTTAGAATAGTGCTTGATACATTGTAAATGCTATCACTATGATTTTATATGCCAGATGTAGGGGATATAGAAACAGCTGAGAGTTCCTTAAGGATCCAAGTCTGGTGGGGAGAGATGGGTAAATATAGTTCAGTGTAGTAAATACAGTGTTACACAGTGTATAATGGTATAGTGACATGGTGGTTGGATGATGGCTGCTTACCTAGGACCCTTCTACAAGTTATCATTTGAGCCTTGAGAACTTAAAGAGCTTTATCTGGCCAAGATGGGTTCAGATGGATTATGTTGCTCATTATTTAAAAAAAAAAAAAAAAATTTCCCCTCCCTGATTATAAAAATTACATTTACTTGTAGAAAAAGAAGCATAGTAAAATCCACAATCTCATTATCAGTGATAACTGTATTATATTTGGACACATTTCCTTTGGACCCTTTTTCTGTACATATTTGTATAATAAAACCAAACTACAGATAATAATTTTATATTCTAGTTTTTGACTTAACATTATACCAATGAAAATTTTTATTAACATTTTCAATGGTTATATCACCTTAATTAAATTTGATGTATTTGCCCTGGCCGGTTTGGGTCAGCGGTTAGAACATCAGCCTGCAGTCCAGAGAGACCTGGGGCTAGGGGCGCGTGCCTGCACATGCCTCGGTTGCAATTTGTCTCCAGCCCTGGTTGGTCATGCAGGTGGCAGCCACTTGATGTGTCCCTTTCACGCCGATGTTTCTCTCTCTCCCTGAACAAAAATGTGAAAATGTCCTTGGGTGAGGATTAAAAAAATAAAAAATTTGATGTATTCTGGGGAAAAGTGGGGGGACATCTGTAATACTTTCAACAATAAAAATATATAAATTTGATGTTTTCTACAGTCTTTTCTCTCTAGCTTTAAAGCCCAATTTGTAGAATTTATAGGAATGCCAGAACTTATCAGTACATTTATTATAATAATCTGTTATTAAATAGGTTGTCCTAAAACTTTCCCAATTAAAATCATACCACATGAACATACATTAATCTTTATCTTCATAAATTGGTCATTTTTATTAGGATAGATACCAAGAACTGGAATTGCTAGATTATAATTTATTTGTTTTGTTTTTAAGTGGATTGCCCGTGATGGTGATTATCCATAAATCCTGGTGTGGAGCTTGCAAAGGTAAGTGCAAATGATCAAACCTCAGATGTATTCTGAAATTAACGTTTAAAATATAGGAGCAATGACTTTGACACAGTGACTGCTGATTGCTTTAATGAATACCAAAGAAATATATGACATAGATTCCCTGCTCCCAAGAAATTGCAGTTATATTTGCAGGGGGTTGAAGGGTGAGGCAATTAAAATAAGTAGAGTAGCCCTGGCTGGTTTGGCTCAGCCGTTGGAACCTTGGCTTGCCGTCTGGAGAGACCCGGTTCGGTTCCCGCTAGGGGCGCATACCTCGGTTGCAGTTTGTCCCCGGCCTTGGTTGCGTCGTGTGGGTGGCGACCACTCGATGTGTCCCTTTCACATCGATGTTTCTCTCTCTCTTTCCTTCCCTCCCACTCTATCTGAACAAAATATCAAAAAAAAAGTGTCCTCGGGTGAGGAAAAAAAAAAAAAGTAGAGTAGCCCTGGCTGGTTTGGCTCAACGATTAGATTGTCAGCTGGTAGACCAAAGAGTTGCGGGTTCGATTCCAGTTAATGGCACATACCTCGATTGCGGTTCGGTCCCCAGCCCTGGTCAGGTCATATGGGAGGCAACCAGCTGGTGTGTCTCACATTGATGTTTCTCTCTCTCCTTCCTTTTCACTCTCTCCCCCTCCCTACCACTCTATTTGAAGATAAATAGAAAAAATATACTCGGGTGAGGATAAAAAAAATAAAATAAGTATGAGATTCAGTGCTACAATAGTCATGTAGACAATACATGATAGTGGAAGCTGAAATGTACAGAGAGAGACATGAGAAGGTCAGGAAAGTCTTCCTGGAGGACTTGAATCCAAGGTTATTTTACCCTGTAGCATGTATTTTTTCTGTTATACCACCCTGCCACTTCCAAGTCAGACTTTTGTGTGTTTGTTATGCTGTACTTAATAAAATCCTAATTGGAAAAGGAGTATAAAATTAGTGTAAATAATTACTGTAATAATATATACACATTAGTGGTATTGTTACCCTATTGTCTATTATTTTTTAATAGAAGTTATTGAAATGTAAAAAAGCAAATAGTAATAATTTTTTTTATTTATATATCATTATCTATATTTTATAAGTAAGGTAAAAGCTTTAGAGGAATGAAGTCAATCCCTTAAGGTCACATAGCTATGCAAGTAAGTGGCAGAAGCAGACCAGAATTCAAGTGTCCTGATTTAAGCGTTAGTTATATAAATCAGCTCAGCAAATTAGAGTTTGGATATAACAGTGATGTTTCTTCTATTCCAAAATCTTTTTCCCCCTAGCTTTAAAGCCCAAATTTGCTGAATCTACAGAAATTTCAGAACTTTCCCATAATTTTGTTATGGTAAATCTTGAGGTAAGAGTTTCTCCTTTCTGTTATAATCTTAATTATTTATTTTTTTAGAATGATCAGTATTAATATAAAATTTAGCAGAGCTGGGTGCTTATACGTGTTTTTTCTTGACCTTTAACACTAAGTTTTGTGTCAGATACAGTAGAAAGCTATCCAGCCTCCACTAGTGGGAGGAAGTAGGATAGGTGGAATTGGATAAGATGACTGAATCCTAAGATCCCTTCATTCTTAGTCCATGATTATGACATGTTTTTATGTCTTTGTATAGCTGATCTAAAGGAATAGTAACATGCAGGCTGCAAGTTCCTGCAAAATGAGATTGAGTTGAAAGCCCACTCTGTCCTGGGCTTGTATGTGCAGCTTTTTGTTTCTTGATTAGATATCCTTTATGTACTTTACATAGACTAGAGGTCTTGGCTTCCCAAATCAGAATATCAGATCTTAGAGTTAGAAGGGCTTTTTAGGCCATTTATACTATCTCCATTTTACAGAAAGAGCATCTTAGGCCTAAAGGAGGTGACTTAGTCAAGATCATAGAGCCTAATAAGTGATAAGAACAGGTACTGTGGCCTAGCTATGTTGCCTCTTAGGCTATACTCTTCAAAGGTGGGATGCTGGATGTTCTAAGATGATACTTCTAGCCCTAACTTTCTGAAAAATAATGTTTACTTAAACATAGTACTGGATATTTCCTGAACACATTAATAGTTAATGTTGAGGCAGCTAAGGGATTATTTATATAGCTTGTGGATAGCCTGAATGCTGATAAACCTCACTCAAGGCAAAGTTATATTAACTGAAGAAATGACCTCATTTAATTTCTGAAATGTGGACCACACCATAAATGACAAAATTACTATTGATTCCTATGCGTATAAACTCCTTGCCACTTTCTGTGGTAGTGAGAATTACCTCTTAAAGGAAATAGAAATATCTTCAGTGAGCATTCTTCAGCTTTGGAGATTTTGAAAAAGAAAGATAATTGTGTGGTCCTATCTCCTGGGAGGACTGCAACTCCACAATTGTAGCTAAAATGTCAATTTCATTAAATCATGCATTCAGGAAATACTATGTGTAAGTCAGTGATGTTTTGGGAATCGGCAAAGAACAAAACAAAATTTTTTACCCTCATTGAAATTACTAATGGGGACTTGAATATGGGGAAGTCAGGCAAATATTGGATGGTGGTAAATGCTGTGGCTAAAAATGAAGAGTGGAGGGGATAGTTTACAAAGATGGTTATCAAAGAAGGTGACATTGAGCAAAGATTTGAAGCAGAAAAAGGAGTGAGCAATAAGGATAATTGGGGGGAAGTGTCTCCGGGCTGAAGATAAAACAATTACAAAAGCCTGAGTTAGGAGCATGCCTGGCTTGATAAATGCCAGAAACAGCAACCAGGTTAGTGTGCTTGAAATAGACTGAACAGGGGTAGAACATGAAGTTAGAGAAGTGCCCAGGTGGCAGATCAGGTAGGGCCTCTTAGGGGGTTTTACTCTAAGTGAGATGAGAAGCCACTGAAAGGATTTGAGGAGAGAGGAGGGGACATGATCTGACTTAAGGTTTATACTTAATAGGATGAAGAGGAGCCCAAGGATGAAGATTTCAGCCCTGATGGGGGTTATATTCCACGAATTCTTTTCCTGGGTAACGTGAAAGATCTTAATCTGGGGATCCATGATGTAGAAGGAGAGAAAAATGAAGCAAGACACTGACTCCACCTAGTGAAACTATACTGGGATGGCTAAAAACAACAAACAGAAACCAGTTTTAAGAGAGAGTAGGGAGAGTTCTCAGTGCCAGAACTTTAAGTGTGAAGAAAAGCTTTCCTCATTAACTAACTGCTTTTGTGAGCAATGAAGTATTGATCATCCATTTATCCATCAACAGTCATTTGTGCATTAGCTCTAAGTCAAGCACTATGTAAGGTGCTAAAGGGACACAGATAAACCACAGTTCCTACCCTTGACACCATAGTACAGCAGAGGCAATGGAACCATAACCAAACAAATGTTTTCCCAAAAACAATTTTATAAAAGACGCTGAATGACTACCTAATCTTTACTTGGCATTCTGCTGGATTCTATGGAGGGTACAAAAAAAATACAGGATCCCATCATCATCAAATAGAAAAAGAACATGTCAGGAAGAGGGAACAGCATATGCCAAGACATGGGGGAGGGGCATTGTGTTTAGGAAAGTGCAAAGAATCCATTGTGATTACAACATAAAACATGGGGAGTAGAGTGGTGAGATAATGGGCTACAAAGATGGGCAGGTCTTGTTTTCCAGAGCCTAGTGTACCATATAGTATTTGAAGTACCTCTCATAATTATCGCAACCCCTGTGCCATTTTGTCTACAATAGATCCCAGTGGCAAGGTGCGTCCTGAAATTATCAATGAGAATGGAAACCCCAGCTACAAATATTTCTACACCAATGCTGAGCAAGGTATGGTTATGTTGAAAGAGAGGAGGGAAGGTTGCTGCTAGATTTAAAAATCTAGGATAAACCATATGTAAGGCCTATGATGGGAAACCCAATTCAACATGTTAGCATCTCCTGCATGACTAGATTTTGGCTAGATCCTGTGTAGAATATAGGAGAAAGATAAGCCTGTGCTTCTTCCCCGACTGCTTACAGTCCAGTTGGGAGGTAACTGACCCACATGAAATTGAAGAGCTGAGGCTCATAGAGTTTGTCACTTGCCCACAGTCTCACAGTTAATATGTCACAGAGCCAGGATTTCAGTCCAGAACATAGCTTTTTTTCCCACTGCATTAATGCTACTCTTGTAAGAATTCAAAGAAGGGGTGGATTCAAAGGAGGGTCATGCTAACTATTAGCTGATTGAGTCTAAAAGATTTCATAGATAGTAAACTTTAACTGGATCTAGAAGAATGAGAATTTGTCTCTGTTCAGATATGAGAAGGACATTTCAAGCTATTGAAGCAAGCCGGGGGGGGGGGGGGGGGGGCTGTATAGCCCAACATAGTGTGTCCTGAAGGCTTGCTAGAGGAAATGATGACTGGATTGAGTCCTGAAGAATGAGACTAGCCAGCAGCAGAATGCAAAAAGCATTATAGATTCACAAACTGGCTCAACCTAACTCCTTCCTGGCCTGCCGTTGTGTAGGGAGCCTGTACCAAAACAGCCGTCTTCCTTGAAGTCTAAATCCACAGGAAGGATGCCCTGAGATAGACAAGAAGTTTTATGTTCCTTTTTTCTAGGACCTTCTTCCCAAGTTTCCTTTTTGCCTGAGAACTTGGCTTCTTCCGTATATAGTTGATACTAGACATGACTGTCTCCTTCAGTGAAGACCACCTTTCCTCCCGGTGTGCACACACACTCACACTCAGATAGTGTAACCTGTAACCTTGACAGGAAATGAAATAAATGCAACATTCACCCAAAAGATATAATGGGGATGGTAGCAGGATGTTTTCTATTCCTTGTGTCAAGTGAACACATACAGTCTATGATGGGTTCAACTCTAATGCTGGAGGGTAAGCCAAAGTAACTACTAACAGTTTTGTAGCACTTCATGCTTTATAAAACACTTTTATTATTCATTCTGCCTTAATTTTTACAAGCATCCTGTGCAGTGTAAGTAGCGTTGCCCCTCATTTTGTAGACAAAAATTCACACAGGTAAAATGACTTCCCAGGGCTAAAATCCAGAACTGGATCTTGTGTCCAGATCCCATGCTCTCCTCATATTTCTCTTAAAACATTATTTGTCAGATGTCAAATATTTAAGATCTACTTCATACTTTTCTCCCCTAACCTTTATTTCACAGTTGTTCAGGGGATGAAGGAAGCTCAGGAAAGGCTGACGGGTGATGCCTACAGAGAGAAACATTTCGAAGATGAGTTATAACATGAATGTGTTCCTTCTCTCATCCAAGTTAGTGCTCTGGAAGGAGGGCAGCAGGGAGGGAATGTTGAGGAATTGCTCAGAACAATTAAACCAACCAAGAAACCTTACTCCTGCCTACATGAGAAGGAGCTCTCTCACTGTGGAAGAGTTCTGCTGACAGAAGCTGGTCTCCATGTTTGTGGATCCAGCAGCATGTGGCCGACTTTCTTCTCCAGCCCCTCGGACCTAAATGTCTATTTGTCATTGAATGTAAAGGATGATACCTTTTGACACAAATCTTGAGCCATTTGGAGGTTTGCTCCTCAAACTTAAGTATTTGAAACTTTTTCCATTTCCTACCACTTTATTCACCTTGGTGGTGAAAGAGATCAGGAGCATTTTTTCTACAATGTTAAAATTGCAGAAATTGCTTATCATTTCCAAGAACAAACCCTAAATGTAAGTGAGTAATTCTGCCCCCACTAAGGAGACCAGCCTGATTCTTCTCTCTCTCTCTCTCTCTCTTTTTTTCCTGGGAAAAATCTTGGCCTTCCTCCTGAATCCCTGAAACTTCCTTCCTTTTCTCCTGCTTGGGCTTCCCTGTTTGCACGCATGCGTGTGCAGAGTGGCTGTGTGTTTGGACTCAGCCTCAGCTGGAAGCATGCTTTCCCTGTTACTGTTGGAGAAACTCAAACCTTCAAGCCCTAGACAGAGCCATTTTTGTCAAATTGTCAACTGTATTTTTGTACTGGGGTTTAAAAAATATTAATTGTACTATTAAACTTTAATAAAACTTTAAAAGGAAGTATGTTGTGATGGCCTTTTTGTTATTGGAGAATGGAGGGAGGGATGGAGATTAGAAAGAAAACTAATTCTGAGAGTCTAATCTGGGACTCTTCCTATTCCCCACCTTCAACATTCAAATGGGCATCAGCTCATCTCTTCAACTTTTTAAATAGCTGAATTCCATTCCATCCTCACTATTACTGTTTTAGCACAGGGCAGGCGTTTTCTGTTTCCTAGACTATTTATTGTGACAGCCTTTTTGTCTACTACAGTGTCCTGTCCTGCACTCCATCCTCAGTGCTTTCCAAAATGCAAATATGACCATGTCACCTCCCTACTTGAAGACTTTTCTGCTGCCTTCAAGATAATAGTATTATTAGGAAACACTTGGACCTCGTTATGTGCCAGGCGTTCCTCTAAGTGCTTTGTGTTATCCCGTTTCATTTGCCGTCAGTCCTAACAGCCCTGTGAGAAAGGTACATTATAATCTCCATTTTACAGAAGGAATTGATGCATATGATAAAACCAAGGCACAGGATGAAGTCAAGATCTTTACCATAGCCTTGAAGAAGCTGCCTACTTCTTTGACCTCATTTATTCCCATTCATGTCTCCACATTTTGTGTTGTGATACCATATTGTTTCAAGTTCTGCCCCCAACAAGCTCTTTTAAGCTTTTGTGTCTTTGCTTGGCTAGCTTCCTTTGCCTAAATCATCTTTTCTTTTTATGCATCCTTAACATTTTGAGCCACCTCTTCCAGAGGCTTTCCTGACCTTTCTTATGAGGATAAAATGTCCCTCCCCCAGTATATCTATCTTGGCTCCCCACCACATACTGTAGTTAACTATTCGTACATCTGTGGCTGTCACCAGGCAGCCATGCTCTTCTAGGGCAGAGGCTATTCCTCTGTTCTGTGCACCAAGGTCCCAAAAGAATGCACTTTCTTTTCTTTTTAAACTATTTTTTTCTTTATTGATTTTAGAGAGAGCGGGAGGGAGAGGGAGAGACAGAAACATTGAGGAGAGGACATTGATTGGCCGCCTCCTGCATGTCCCCCCACTGGGGATCGGGCCCACAAGCTGGGCATGTGTCCTGCCTGGGAATCGAACCAGTGACCTCTTGATGTATGGATCAGTGTTCAACCACTGAACCACACTGGCCAGGCAACAATGTACTTTCAAGTGAATTGTCTCTGTGGTAGATTCTTTTAATCTATTCTTATATTCTATCAGTGGTCCTATGGGACAGGTATTAGTAGTCTCATTTTATGGAAAAGGAAACTTTGGAGACGGGTGGCTTGTCCTCAGTTTCTAGACTAAATGCTGGATTCTAACCATCCTTATCTTACTCCAAACTTACGCTTTTTCCACCACACTTTGTATTACCCTTATATTTCAAAGTGTAATTCAGAATAGGAGTTTCCCAGCTGGAGAACATAAAGACTTTACAAGAGATACATGAATGCAGAATTTTATATCCAGATTTTCATTTTCCCAAAAGTGGTTTCCCAGGATTTCTCAAAAAAAGAAAGCGATTGCCATATGACCACCAGTTCTACTTCTGAGTATGCATTCCAAAGAATTGAATGCACAAACTCGAATAGATATTTGCACACTTATGTTTATAGCACCATTTTTCACAACAGCCAAAAGGTGGAAGCAACTCAAGTGTGTGTCAATGGATAAATAGATAAACAATGTGGTGTATAAATGCAAAATAATGTTAGTTCTCTTCCTTTCAGCCCCTAAACTCAGGCTGATTTCAGCACTATGGCTACTGGTCAGTTCTGAGAGAATGCAGTTCCCATTCAGAGCACGAGGGGGAGTATGAGACTAAACCTTTGCAAAGGATCACGGGGCCAATTTATCAGCCTCCCTTAGTAAACCCTAGGAGAAAGCAAAATAGTAGATAAGTAGACTTCTTGTAAACTTCTGGTCACTGCCCCCCCCCCCCCCATGGCTATCCTTTTTCCCTTTCTCACAGGGGATGGTACCACCCAAGTCAGAAAGTTCTCCTGGTTGCCTCAGTTTCTCTTCTCCCTATGTATAGCCAATCAGTCACCACAACTTGTTCTTTTCATCCTTTAGTGCCCCACTACATTTCCCAGCTCATGTCTCATGATCCTTTGAAGTCACTGGATCAGCCTTCTCTTTGGTCTCCCTGTCCCTGTATATTGGAATCTCCAATCCATCTCCCGTTGTGCAGGCTTAGATCTTTCTAAAGCATGAATTTGGCAAAGACTCCCCCCATATAAAGCCCTGTAACAGCTCTGTATTGTCCTGATCATCCTTAGCATGGCCTCCCAGGCCCTGGCTGACATGTAGCTTTGACTTATCTCCCCACCTCACTCAGTACCTGTACTGTGCCCATCATATCTGTGCTTCCAGAGACAGATCCTGAAGTTCTCTGAAGATTTCACATCATTTTACACCTTTGGATTTTTGCTCATGCTGGTCCATATGCCTGGGTTGCTTCTTCATGAGTTTAACTCCTACTTATCCTTAAAGGCTCAGTTTATGTCTCTCTGCATCCCAGGACCTGCATCCCAGCATGGTGCCTAGCCTAACTCTCAGCCTCCTCCCTGCTGGCAAGAAAACAACAGCCATGTCCTTCCAAATTAATTTATGTCACTGATTTTAGTCTTGGCTTTTCCTACTTTCATTAGCTAAAAAACCATGGTTTGGTTATTTCTTCCTCACATGCAAGATGATATAAATCAGTCCCTACTTCATAGGTTTATTGTGAAAGTTAAATAATATGGTGAATATGAGAAATCCTTTGTAAATATTTAATGCCTATTTATTCAGCAAATACCCTCTGTCTCCTTATAAGAATGATCCAGGAGGCACTGTATTGGGCAGTAGTGTGTCCTTTGTCTTTGTAGAGCTCAGACTAGTGGATCTTAGAGCCTGCTATCCTGCACCAGACAATGAGCAACTTTGGACCAGGGACCATTTGTTATTCACCTCCATGTATAGTAGGTACTTAGGATATATTTGCTGTGTGGGTGAGTGAATGAATGAATGAATAAATGGCATTCCAGGAAGAGAGAGAAAGTGATGCAAATTCATGTTATGGATCAGGTCATATTAAGGGAACCATAAGTAGTTTAATATTGGAGCTCAAAGCATCATGGAGGAGTATCCAATAATGAGGCTAGAGGGTGGGTGGGGCCAGACCACAAGTGGCCATATGTGCACATTAAACAGATAGACTTTGGAGTAGGGCAAAGGGAGGGATTTTAAACTGGGTTTAGGAAGAGTCCTCTGCTGCAGTGTGGTGTGTGGATTACAGGGGAAGGTTGGTGGCTATCATGAGAATAGGACAGTTATGGAGGCAATGGCTCTGGATGGAGAGGAAGGGATGGAATGGCAGTAGAATGGATTGGCTTCAGTGAAGCATTGCCAGGGTGGGTGAGGGGAAGGGAGGGGTGATGGGTGGTACCTGCATTCTAACTATTCATATGTTGCATGTTTCCCTGTGTGTGTCTCAGATTCCACCCCTGCTGACAGCAGTGTGTCCTGATGATGTTACAGTGTCCTCAGTGTGCATATTCACCAGTTTCACCTCATAAACTGATGCAGGTGGGGAGAGAATGGACCTGCATAGTCATTTATTTTACAAATGAAGAACCTGAATTACAGAGAAGGATGAAATGATTAGTATATGAAATGGCATTTGAGATACTCATCATTTTTTAAAAATTATTATCCAAACCTATTCCCACTACTGTGGGAGATTGGTTACTACCATTGATTCCTCCCTTTCCTGTATCCATGCCCCTTTGTAATGCAACTTTGCTCTTCTTCCAGTCAAAGGTAGAGTTTATTTCTCTACCCCTTTGAATCTGGGCTGGACTTGTGACTTAATCTGGCCAATAGAATAAAATATATGTGATATTATGCAATTTCTGAGGCTAGGCCTAAAGAGATTGTATCTTCTGCATTTATCCTCTTGAAAAATTGCCCCAGGACCACCATGTAAGCTGGTCTAACCTACTGATGGATTAGAACATGGCAAAGAGCCATGGCATCCTGCTCTCAGCCTACCAACTGCCAGACCTATGAATGAGGCCTTCTTATACCTTCCAGTATAGCAGACCTTCCAGCTGAATGCTGCTTATGAGTGATCCCAGGTAAAATCAGCAGATGAACCCATTCAGCCACCCCCAGAACTGTGAGAAGCAATAAATTATTGCTGTTTTAGGCCACTGATTTTTAGGTGGTGGTTTGTTAGGCAGCAATTGTTTTCAGCAAATGGCTTCACTGTCTGCCTGGTCACTTATGCTAATTCCCTTTCCTTCATATTTCACATTTAATCTGTCACCAAGTCCAGGGAATTTTACCTCCTAAATACATATCAAATCCTTCTACTTTCCACTTTCCCTGCTGCTATGACATGAGTTCTGATTCTCTTCATCTTTCACCTGGATTATTACGGTAACCTCTGTGTTCCCTATCTTCTGTCTCTCTGCTCCCTACCCTTCCCATCTAGTCTGTCATAACACTGTCAGAGCTATTTTACTTACATGCATATGTAAACATGTTACTCCATTGCTTAAAATCTTTGCTTGCGAGGTAAGTTCCCAAATCTCTAATATAATTGATTAGATCATCTGGCCCTGCCTCTGCTTCCAGTCCTGGAGTGGCAGTGCTTCTGCCACATTGATCCCTATGTTCCTAGAGCTGCTTCACGGGTTCTGGTGACCTTCGGGCATCTTTTCTAGCTCCCACATTGCATGAGGCAGCTCACTTGATGGGGTCAGATGGAAACATTCCACTTGTCAACACTTCTGAGTTTTTAGGTTGGCCAGGAGGGACTCACACTGGGGTGTAGATTTGAACCTTGTGAAGATTTGGACTTTTCAAATGACATCCACACTTATGCTATTACCTTTTCTAAGTGACTGATTCTCATTCAATAAAAAGTATTAACTTTTAATTTCATGTAAAAACCAGAGCTAAGAAGGCTGATTTACTCTGGCAACTGAAAAAGATATAAAGAAATTTTGTTCGTAGGACTCTTAATCACAATGGTGTTCACTGAGCAACCATAATTCTGGGTCTGATAGAAAGAGCCCTAGAGTTGGAGTCAGACAGATGAGGTATCTGGTTCTGTTATTTATGAGAGGTGTGACCTTGGCAAGTCATGTAAACTTTCTGACTTCTGTTTCCTCATTTATGAAAAGGGATGACAAGCAATACTTTGCATGATTGTATTGAGGACTAAATGAGATAACAGATGTGAATGAGCCCAGTGTATTTTAAGGTCTTAATGATTATAATTGTTAACCAATGTCATCTAAGGGAAAAGGTAGAATTTTATCTTTCTTTTCTTACTTGGGCATTTGGATCTGGAAGTGAAGAAAATCTAAAATAATTTGATTTATTATATTCTTTGGTGATCAATATATGACCTGCTAGTCAATAAGGAGGTAACTATGGGGGGGGGGGGGGCAAAAATGAACAGTCCAAAGGGCCTCTCTGCCCCTTTCAGATCTAAATGCAATGGGATTGAAGCTCAGTTTTCATATCTTCTAACCCTTGTAAGTTTGAAACCCTCCAGATTTCTGCCAATTTCACTAGAGCTTATGGTCTCATAGTCTCTGCTGCTGGTCTCCTTTTTCAAGGCAGAAAAACAAAGCCCATTGCTCAATTTGCCTAACAACTCTCCTCACAAATACCTTCGCTCAGAAAGCATTCCTGAGTGTAATGACCTTTAGTGAATTCTTAAAGGCAAGAAAGCCGTTACATTATATGTGTGATAAAAAAACACACAAACTTATCCCTTGTGTATTCCAGTGCTTAAACACTCCTTTGTCCACCTGCCATGGGAGAGTTTTTTCTGACCTTTTACCCATGTAGCACCTACCCTTACACTGATTTTCTTACTCATCTTTTCTCTTTCCCCCTCCTAGCTCTCTTGATTACCTCTCTCTTCCATTTGCCAAGTGAATTCCAAATTGTCCTCCCTTTTTCACACAGAACAATTTAATATTCCCCTCTTTTCCTCCCTCACTTACATATTCACACTCCTCAGGGCCCTAACTAGGACAAAGGACCTTCTGTGCATTAGGGTGGATCCTTCTTAGAAGGTAGTTGTGGTTAAAAATAGCACTTTTTTCCCCCCCTGTTTTAATAATGACAGTGTTTCCAATTTATTGAGTGCTTACTATGTGCCAGGCACTCTGTCAAGAACTTGCCAATCACTATCTCATTTTCTTATTTGATCTTTATTGTAAATGACCCTGGGAGCTAGCTCTCACTATTGTTATTTCTACAAATGAGAATGAGGTGCCTGTGTCAGAAAAAGTAGGTGATTTACATAAGAGCACACAGCCAGCAAGTGGTGGAACCAAATCTGTCTGATCCCAAGTCTGTGCTCTTTCTGTTTTACTAATGGCCTTTCAGAAGAAGAAGAAAGTAATCAGAAGACCTGAGGCTACATAAACGCAATACCATCTGTTCTCATATTGTTTTGCAACTGCAAAAGGGTGGTTTTATATGTTATCTCATGCCTGTGAAGAATGAATAATCATTATCATCACACCCATTTCGAAATGAGGAAACTAGGTTCTTGTGGGAGAAAGGGAATGAGGGAGCAGGCAGCATAGGATATTTGATTTTAAGATCGCAGAGGCACTAGTTCTGGGTGCTTACAGAGTCCAGAGTGTGACCATGGGAGCCAGTGGCCAAGGTGATGTGAAGAGGAGACCAAGGACTGAGGGATCAAGAAGCACATGGCTATTGAAGTCACCAGGAGGATGGCAGGGCAGGGGCTAATGAGGATGACCAGGAGCCAAGGGCTGAAATGCGTAAGAAGCAACTAGGGGGTCAGTGATATCTTTGATGAGAAGGAATGGAAGGTGATATAGCTGGAGAGCAAAGGAGAAAGAATTTTTCTACAAGCATGGAAGTGGCAGTGCTGACCCTACCTCCTGGTTTTATGTTGTGAGGGGAGTGGAAAAGTGAGAAGCCTTCTTGCAGAGGGCTACAAGAGGAGTCCTGGAGGAGGTTCAAATTTCAATAAAGGCAAAAAAGTAATCTGACTACTCTGAAGAAGCAGAGGGTGTAGGGGAGTTTGTTGACAAAGGAACAGGATTCTAGAGGGCACAGTGGAAAGGGCTGCCAGGAGGTGGACAGTGGGGGCGGGGGGAGGTGAGTGGAAGGGAGGGAGTGGAGAAGCTCAGAACAGTATAAGAATGAGTCTGGCAGAGAAGTTAAGACAACAGGAGGGGCTGTCAATGGGTGGTTCCCCAAATTGGAGAGACAAATTGTAGATAGGGTCATAATAGAACCTAGGGCAAAAATGGTTTTGGTATCTGATTCAGACCTCTAAGATTTGAGATGGGGGAAGAGTGTGAAAAGGGGCAATGATTCTAAACCAAAGCTGGCAGCTAGCTCCTGTGACATCAGGAAGACTTGAAGTCCAGGTTCGAATGGGAGGATATGGTACTAATTACCTGATATACCTTCCTTCTCTAGTGGAGTTGGGACTTCCTAATGACCAGGTAAGGACATTTTTCTCACGCTAGGCTGCTGCTGGTAATGGGGAGACATTGAAGTTTGTTTGTTTTAACAAGGTTGATGGTAATATGGTGACATTTAGAATGATCACTCAGGCTCTTTGGTGTAGAGGATGGATTGGAGAGTGGAGGCAGGGAGACCTTTTAGGAGGCTTTGCATTAGTCCAGACAAGAAGTAATGAGCCCTGGCTGATTTGGCTCAGTGGTTAGAGCATTGGCCTGTGGACCTGAGAGACCCGGGTTCGGTTCCCACTAAGGGCATGTGCTTTGGTTGCAGTTTGTCCCCGGTCCCAGTTGGGGTTGTGTGGGTGGCAGCCAGTGTCTCTCTCACATGGATGTTTCTCTCTCCCTCCCTCCCTCTCTATCTGAAGATAAATGCAAGAATGTCCTCAGGTGAGGATTAAAAAAAGAAGAAGAAATAATGAGGCCTGAACCAGGGAGAGAGCAGTGGAGATGGAGAGAAAGGGAAAGGATAGATAGGATATGTTAAGGGAGTATTATTACCAGACTGATGAGATGAAGAGCATAGGGTAGAGGACAATGCCCAGGTTTTTGGCTTAGTTTCTTCTTATAGTTAGCAGTTCAGATTCTCCATCTCTGCCTAGGCTTTTGTGAGGATGAAGTGATATAATAAACAGGAAAGTGCTTTGGAAATGGCAAATCTTGGTACTAATCATTATCTACATTATCATCAAAGTTCTCTTATTGCCCTGGCCGGTTTGGCTCCGTGGTTAGAGCATCGGCCAGCAGACCAGAGAGTCCTGGGTTCAGTTCCTGCTAAGAGAATGTACTTCAGTTGCAGTTTGTCCCCGGCCCTGGTTGGGGTCATGCGGGTGGTGACCACTCCATGTTTCCCTTCCTCTCTCCCTATCTGAGGATGAATGCAAAAATGTCCTCGGGTGAGGATTAAAAAACAACAAAAAACGTTCTCTTAAAAAAAAGTTCTCTTATCACCCTAGTAAATTTGGTCTGTAGAATGAGGTGTGAGAATTAAGATAAATCACGATAGAGCCCTGGCCCAGTGGCTGTTGGTTAGAGCATCTTCCCCACAAGCCAAGATTGTGATTCCACCCCTGGTTAGGGCACATACAAGAAACAACCAATGGTCCAGCAGGTGTGGCTCAGTAGCTGAGTGTCTACCCATGCACCAAGAGGGCACTGGTTCAATTCCCAGTCCCGACACATTCCCAGGTTGTGGGCTGGATCCCCAGTATGGGGCATGCAGGAGGTGGCCGGTTGATGTTCTCTCTCATCGATGTTTCTCTCTCTCTCTCCTTCTCACTTCCTTTCTTTCTCAACTCAATAAAGAAAAATAAATTATTTTTTAAGAAACAACCAATGAATGCATAAATAAGTGGAACAGCAAATCGGTGTTTGTCTCTCTCCCTTCGTCTCCCTCTCTCTAATCAATAAATTTTTTAAAATTTAAAAAGATAAATCACGATATTGACTCAGATATTAGGCAGCTCAGGGCCCCCAAGATATATCAGATACCCTACACCTGTGGGCTGCAGAGTTGGGGCAGGGCTAACAAGGACCCTGCCCCTGGGCGGGGCGTGGGTGGGGCCTGGACTCGGCCGTAGCTGTAGCCGGAGCCTCAGCCCGAAGTCGTGGTGGTGGGGACCAGACTGGACCCGAAGGGACCCGCACCGCCCTGCTCCTCGAACCCAGCTGCGCCTTCTGCCACTCGCTGCCGGGTTCGGCTGTCCAGCTGTGCTGTTGGGGAGCGAGCCACTCTCCCGCACCCGGAGTCCCAGGTAAGGGGCGCGGCCCCAGCGCCCAGCCCGGGGAGGACCAGGGACCGCTCCTCCGCGAGGGGCGCTGGGGACAGAGAGCGGGCGCTGCGAAGGAGCGCAGGGCAGCGGAGGGGACGCCGGGGAGAAGGGGATGGGGGAGGCCGCTAAGGAGGGGACACCGCCGCAGTGAAGGGGCGCGTAGCCTGAGAAGGGGGCCATAAGGGAGGATCTACCCGAAATGTGAGGGCTGCAAGGGGAGCCCCGAGGACAGGGGGGAGCAGGAGTGCGGGAGCCAGAAAGGGGGCGCCGGGGCTGGGGGGAAATGTTGAGCGGCCACTGAAGCGCAGTGAGGGGAAAACGGAGGGCGTTGGGGGCGGGGAGATGTGTGGAGGGAGCAGAGAGGGGCAGTGCGGGCAGAGGGTACCAGGCAGCCAAGGGGTGGTGAAGGGGGTGCGAAAGCCACAGAATTGAGAGGAGCGAAGGGTAGGGGAGACGAGCTAAGGGAGGGGGACTGGTCAGCGGGGCTCGTTTTGAGCCGGAGAAGAGTGAGGTGACGAAGGTAAGGGGCGCTGGGCAAGAGCGGGGCTGCTGGTTGGGGACTGGAGATTTGAGTGTGGAGAGCTGGGAGCGAAAAGGATATGGAGCTGGAACCCAGCTGGGTACAGGCAAGGTGGGTAACTTGAGTGGGAGGCGAAGGTTGGGCTTGGAGGTGGGAAGCTTGGACGAATGAGAGGATGGGACCTGGGATGGGTCTACCTGGCCTGCAGAAGAAGGGGTGGAGAACTGGTCCAAGGAGAGGGTAGTGGCCTCGGATGTAGGCAGTGGACTGGCCAGAGGTGAGGGGTGGAGAAACACTGGATTAGAGCAGGGGTCTGGTGGAGGAGTGGAGGAGCTGTCAGGGAACTTGGAGAGTTTAGGGTAGTGGGTGCACTGCGTCAGGCTGGGTTAGGCTGGGGAGGAGGCCAGGTGTGAGTTGTGGTATGAGAGTGGAAAGATGTTGGGGGCCCAGAGTGAAGACCATGGGCACACAGGTGCTATCTGTGTCTTAGCTCCTCAGAAGGCTGTGAAAAGGATGGAGGCACTGGACCCTTTTACACTTCCACCTGTGATCAAAGACAAGAAGAAAATTGTGGACAGAAAAATTCATCCACAGACTGACTCTATTTTGAAGTCCAAGTGTGAAAAGAGACTTTAGGGAGGGCAGGGAAGCAGCCTCTGGAAGCTAATAGAGATATGGAGAGAGATGGGAGAAAGGGCCCTCCATCTCAGTTTCTCTGAATCCAGATGGAAAGGGGTGGAGGATAGTAAATGGAGTTAGATGTGTGCGTGCACAGGTGGATGCCCATCTGTTCTGTGCCTATAAAGGGTGGAAGACAATGGAAGTCCCTGTCTATGGTAATAGGAAGCCCTGTGCCAGAGGAGAGACATTTTGCTAGAGGATGATGGGTCAGGGAAGACTTTCTGGTCATGAAAGATTTAACTTGCAGTGGAAGAAATTATATTCCTATTAGAGGAGATAGTATGGGAGAAGGCAAAATTCTAAAATGATCTCTAGTCCAAGAAATAAATCTCCATTTTCTTAAGGATTATGATATGAAGGGAAGCATCAGTAACCTGTAAAGAATATTTAAAAAGATTTCCCATCTAAGCTTGAACTCTTTATGTTCCTCTTCATCTCCCCAGAATGCAGCACAGGGCCTGGCTCACAGTACATGCTCAGTGAATGTTGAGTGAATGAATAATTGAGCTGTGCTTGTACTATTGCCTCAATTTTCTTATCTACCCCCAAGAATTGTTGTGAGAATCAAATATGATAGTGTGGGTGAAAAGAATTTTCATAATGTATAAAGCACTGTACAAAAGAGAAAGACCACTAATGTTATTATACAAGTATGCCTACATTCTGTCAGTGGCCACACCCATGGCTCTTTCCAGTCTAAAGAAAGAAGGAAGTGAACATTTTCCAAGCTTCTTTTGTATGGAAGATAGAATGCATTGAAAATACCTGGTAGAGTGCCTGGCATTTAGTAGATGCTCAAAAAATGGTAGCTATTATGATACTGTTTCTGTGGGGAAACAGTGAGGAGGTAGGCTGGACGGTGGTGATGGTTGACAGTGGGGAATGATCTAAAGAAAGGTTGAATCAGAAACATTAGTAGAGTATGGCTTTAGGGAAGACGTAGCATATAGTAGGGTGAGGTCCACATATGCCCAACTCCCTCTTTATCCTCACTGATAAATTATCCCAATAGGAAGACAGAATTTATTGAGCACCTCCTATATGTCATATACTATCTAGATGCTTTACCAACATTGGCTACACTCTTCCCAATAATGCTTTCACAAACAAGGAAACTGTCATGTAAAATTTCTTGCCAAGGTCTCACAGCTAATAAATGATAGACCTGGAAACTGAATCTGGTTTGTTTGATTTGGAACCCCAAGCTATTTTCACCACCCAGGATGACCTGGTAGAAGAAAACATGAAGCACCTAGACAAAAAGACAAATTTAAGTGTTTTATAAAGCACTCTCCCATAGACTGGTTTTAATTCTTACAACAGTTTGCCAGGAAGTCGTTTCATTAATTTTTTTATCCTCAACCAAAGACATTTTTCGATATTTTGTTCAGATAGAGGGGAGGGAGAAAGAGAGAGAGAAACATTGACGTGAAAGGGACACATCGAGTGGTCGTCACCCACACGACCCAACCAGGGCTGGGGACAAACTGCAACTGAGGTACATGCCCTTAGCGGGAACCAAAGCCGGTTCTCTCCAGACCGCAGGCCGATGCTCTAACCGCTGAGCCAAACCGGCCAGGGCCAGGAAATCATTTTATTAACTCATTTTATAGGTGAGGAAACTGAGGCCCAGGGTGTGATCTGCCTAAGGTTACATAACTGCTGAGAAAACCAGGGCTCAACCCAGGTCTCTTGACTCAATCTTGTGCTTTTTCCATCAGAGAGAAGTTTATCCATTCACTGCATGTATTGAATTGATCGCTTATGGCTGGATTTTAGGGCTTTTTTCTCCTCTCCACCCCACTCCCCACCCCTCCTGTCTGAGGTTGGCTTCTTCCTTAGGTGCTTATTTCTACTGCCTATCAGACTGAACACATTATCTATTTTTCACACCAACTCTTAGAGGAGCCATTCTCCTCTTTCCCTTAGCCAGGAACCAGGAATGACTTCCCAGATGGTCCCTAGGCCTTTATCTATATTGCTTGTTACAGAGACAGTGATCTTCCCAGCTCTATCATTTATGTGACTGTCACAAAAGAGAGGGAAGATGTGATTGATGCTTATCTCACAAATGTAGTCCTGCATGTGCCATGTGCAATGACCTGTCTGCTCAGATTTGCCGTGGGGGGCTGCTTGCTAGGATGCTTTTTACCTCTCTTCCAAGTGTCTGTGTAGCCCCTACCCCCATCTTGAGAAGATCCCCTTGGGGGCTTACATCTGAACGTGCCTTCCAACTGAACCTCTCTGCCCTCTGCCTCTTCCTGATTTCATACCACCTTCATGGGAAAGCTACGCTGTGTGCACATAAACAGATGTTGGCAGTACAGTACGGCAAGTGCTAAGATAGAGATGCTCAGGGTGCTGGGGATGCTTCTTTACTCACTCTAAAATTGTTGTCGTCCCCCCCACCCCCTGCCTAAATCCAGTCCAATCTAGGATGACAAGAATTTTGGTCATGACTTGCTGTGTGACTTTGGATAAATCACTTCTCTTTGTGGAGTCTCAATTTTTGACCTGTAAAATGAAGGGAAGTGGATCAGATTAGGAACTAAAACTAATTTTTACTTTTGCCTTTCTCTTCCTTCTCATACCTATGGCAGACATAGCTAATAAAGATCCTACATGAGGCCACATGTATTTTTCTCCACACAGTGCATGCACAAAACACACTTATATACATTCTCTTATTTAAAATTCACAGCAGCCTTGCAAGGTACGTAATATTATCATATCATAGATGAGGACACTGAAGCTCAGAGTTTAAGTGACTTGCCCAAGTTTATGCATTGAGTTACTGGGAAAGCTGGGACCAGGAGCCAGGCTTTTTGTTATGAAAAAGCTGTCACTCTAAACCCCCTTCTAATTCCAGGAATCTAAGCGTATAAACAGCTGCATCAGAAAAATGAAGACCAGTAATACTATAGCATTTACATTGATAGTCTATCTCCAGCACATGGCAAATGATCACTAAACATTTGTTGAAAGGAGTAATATGCCCTAAGTATTAACAGCTGTTAAGGATAGATACAACTCAACTTATTCCAGAAGAGGAGGCAGATAGTTCATTGTAAAATAAGCCCCAATAATGTAGCCCAGATCAGGGAGAGGGCAGTTGAACAAGATTTGACTGCAGAGGTAAATTAAAGGGGCCAGTGAAATAATATTTGTTGAGTACCTTTGATGGGCCAGGAAATTATGCCAGATTATTTACATATGGTAACTGCTCATTCTATTTGTACCACAGCTCTGTGAAGTAGATGGTATTTTCTGTTTTTGTTTTTAATCCTCACTTGAGAATACTTTTCCATTTTTCTTCAGATAGAGTGGGAGAAAAAGGGAGAGAGAGAGAAACATCGACACGAGAGACCCATTGACTGGTTGCCTTCTGCATGACCCTGACCAGGGCTGGGGATAAACAGCAACTGAGGTATGAACCCGCAATTCATTGGTCCGCAGCCGACACTCTAACGGCTGAGTCAAACTGGCCAGGGCTATTTTCTGTATTTTAAGGTAAAAATGTTGTGACATAGGTCGCATGATTTGCCCAAGAATTCAGCTGAAGAGTAGAGCCTGGCCGGTGGTGGCTCACCGGTTCGATTTCCCAGCCAGGGCATATGCCCAGGTTGTAGGCCAAATCCTCAGTGGGGGGCATGCACTAGGCGGCCAACTGATGTTCTCTCTCATTGATGTTTCCATCTCTCTCTCTCTCTCCCTCTCCCTTCCTTTCTCTCTAAACAATAAAGAAAAGGAAGAGAGAGAGAGAGAGAGAGAGAGAGAGAGA